TTTCGTTCGCTACCCCTGCAGTCGCCGCACGAGTAAGGAACTGGTGTGTCCTGGAAGAGGTCGAGACGCTCTCGGATCATTTGTACATCCGATTCGAGCTCTCCCGGTCCCAGGACCCCAGTAGGGGTCACGCGGCGCGGCGCCCTTCCCGCTTCCCGCGGTGGGCTAGTCGCCAAGCTCGACAGGGACCTACTAGAGGAGGCGGCCATTATTTACTCTTGGCTGTCTCCGCAGGCCCCGACCGAGGAGGTCGACATGGGGGCTGGTCGCTTCTGCAATGCGATTACGCAGATTTGCGATGCGGCCATGCCCCGCGTTCGTGGTTGTCGGCCTCCAAGGAAGGAGGTCTACTGGTGGTCCCAGGAGTTGGCGGACCTCCGTGCGGCCTGTGTACGTGCCCGGAGGTCCCTCACCCGTAGTCGGCGACGTCACCGCGGGGTCGGTGAGGAGGTGGACCGGCTTCATGAGGAGTACCGAGAAGCTCGGAAAACTCTGAGGCTGGCCATCTGCCGCGCCAAGGATGCGTGTAGAGAGGAGATGCTGGAGAGTCTCGAGCGTGACCCCTGGGGTCGCCCTTATCGTGCGGTGCGTCAAAAGCTCCGCACGTCGGGCCCCCCCCTTACGGAGACTCTCCAGCCCAGCTTCCTGCAGGAAGTGGTCGAGGGCCTATTCCCGCAGCGGGCGGAGCACACACCCCCGTCGATGGCTGCATCAGCCGGAGACGACGGGGGCAGCGAGGTCTGATGTTCCGCCCGTCAGGGAATCGGAGTTGGGGGCGGCTGTTCTACGGATTAGATCCAAGAACACCGCCCCCGGGCCGGACGGGGTTCCAGCCCGAGTGATGGCCCGAGCCCTCGACTACATGTCGGACCACCTCAGGGGGGTGTTGGACGCTAGCCTGGCGTCCGGACGCTTCCCTGAGCGCTGGAAATGCGGGAAGCTGGTCCTGCTGCAGAAGCCGGGACGGCCTGCCGAATCGGTCGCGGCCTATAGGCCTATCGTGTTGCTGGACGAGGCGGGCAAACTTTTTGAGAGGGTGCTCTCTGCCCGCATCGTCCGGCACCTTTGCGAGGTTGGCCCCGATCTGTCGGACGCCCAATTCGGTTTCCGAGAGGGGCGTTCGACGATCGATGCCGTGATGCGCCTTAGGGCCGTGACCGAGGAGGCCGTGAGCTGCGGCGGAGTGGTGTTGGCGGTGTCCTTGGACATCGCCAACGCCTTCAATAGTCTGCCATTCAGCTGCATCAGGGAAGCGCTCCGCTACCACGGAGTGCCGGAGTACCTGAGGCGGCTGGTGGCAGACTATCTTGAGGAGCGAACCGTCATGTACGAGGACCGAGATGGCGTCTTGAGACGCAGGGCCATGTCGTGCGGTGTTCCGCAGGGGTCTGTCCTAGGACCTCTCCTGTGGAACATCGGGTACGACTGGGCCCTACGAGGGCGTCTCCCCCCCGGGCTGGGTGTAATCTGCTACGCGGATGACACTTTAGTCACGGCCCGGGGGGCTAACTTCCAGGAGGCGGCGCGCCTGGCCGCCACGGGAGTTTCCCAGGTGGTCGGGCGCATTGAGGCGTTGGGTTTGCGGGTGGCCCTGGATAAGACGGAGGCCCTATTATTTCATGGGCCCCGTCGTGGTCCACCCGCCGGCGCCTCAATCGAGGTCGGCTCGGTCCTCGTACCGGTCCGGGCCCAGATGAGGTACCTGGGTCTGGTCCTAGACGGTAGGTGGCTCTTCGACGAGCACTTCCGACAGCTTGGTCCGAAGCTGGTGGACACTGCCTCCGCCCTAGGGCGACTTTTGCCCAATTTGGGCGGGGCCAGTGTTCCCACGAGGCGGCTGTACGCGGGGGTTGTCCGGTCCATGGCGCTTTATGGTGCACCGGTGTGGGTGGCGGCTCTGACCGCCCCGAATAGGGCGCGCCTCTGGCGCCCCCAGAGGATATTGGCGGTCAGAGCCATACGCGGATACCGCACGGTGTCCACCGAGGCGGCTTGCGCCTTGGCCGGAACGCCCCCGTGGGATTTGGAGGCGGAAGTGCTCGCCGAAGTTTATCGGCGAGTGGCTGACTTCCGGGCGGAGAGCGGATTTCGCCCTCCGCCCGAAGACGTGCGCGAGTGGCGCGAAGCCGCTCGCCGAGCCACTATGGTGAGATGGTCGTTCCGGCTGGAGACTCCACGCGCTGGCTTCGCCGCCGTGGAGGCTCTCCAGCCGGTCATCGCCGAGTGGGCAGGGCGGCAGCACGGGACCCTTTCCTTCCGGCTGACGCAGGTGCTTTCCGGGCACGGTTGCTTCGGAAAGTACCTGTACTCGGTCGCTAGGAGGGAATCGAGTCCCGCCTGCCACCACTGCGACTGCGGTGAGGATTCGGCCCAGCACACGCTGGCGGTTTGCCCCGCATGGGCGACGCAGCGCCGGGCCCTCACTGCAGTCATCGGAGCAGATCTCTCGCTACCGGCCGTAATTCGCTCCATGGCCGGTAGCGACAGTTGTTTTACCGCGGTCGCAACCTTCTGCGAGGAGGTAATCTCGCAGAAGGAGGCGGCGGAGAAGGCCCGGGAGGACGACCTCCACTCGGACCTGATCCGCCGCCGGCGAACCGGGCGGCGGAGGCGCGCTCACCTGCGCCTCATGCCGCCCTGAGTGTGGCCGCGGGTGGACGGGATGGGTTCTCCCCTCCACCCGCATTAGTTGGCCAGCCGCGAGGGGGCGGCGTCCGCGTGTGCCGGACGTCGCCTAAAGAGAGGAACATCCACATTGAGACGGAGCCCGCACCAGGAGCGGGCTGGCGCTAGGAGGGGTCCGGATGTCTTAACAACAGCTGTTCCCGGATCCCTCCTGTTACAGGCGCAGAGTGGCACACCGTGTGGTTTTAGTCGGTCCGAGTCCGACACACCACCCCGCCGCAAACCCCGGAGGGGTGACGGTCCGAGGGGATTTCCACACGTTAAAAAAAAAAAAAAAAAAAAAGGTTAGGTTAGGTTTTTTTTTTTTTTTTTTTTTTTTTTTTTTTTTTTTTTTTTTTTTTTTTTATTCGCTTTTCCCCAGTCAAGGATACACCGGGACCTTATATATCTTATGGCTATTTCTATTCTATATCTAGTTAGCACTATACCCCTTTATGGGATTATACATATTTTTACTACAGATATTTTTACTATACATATTTTTACTATACCTATTTTTATTATGCATAATTTTTCTGTACATGTTTAACTATACATATTTTTACTATACATACTTTTAACATATACATTTGTTATACATATATTTCGCTATACATAACTTACTATATATATATTTTTATTATGCATATTTTTACTATAGATATTTTATCTTTTTATCTTATATCTAGTTTACACTATACCCCTTGTGTGATTATACATATTTTTACGATACATATTTTTACTATACCTGTTTTTATAATACATAATTTTACTGTACATGTTTTACTATACATATTTACTATAGGTACATATTTTACTATACGTATTTTTAATATTTATATTTACTATACATATATTTTTACTATACATATTTTACTATATATATTTTTATTATGCATATTTTTACTATAGATATTTTACGTATTAATACTATACAGCTATTTGAAATATTTATTTTTCAGTCATTACATGGCGTGACTTATTGGCTGAGCTTACAACTTATACATATATTTCTTACATTTATATCATACATATTTTTTCTATTCTATCTTTATTCCATTTGTCTTACATTGGTATAACTCTTTAAACGTGATCTAGCTTTTAGCAAGTACACAGTTCTATTTATTTACATCTATTTTGGAGTCTTATAACAGGTTATGTTTTACTTATCTTTTCTATGTTCTTTAGTTACACAATAGTTATGCTTTATTTTATTTGTTCGGTTACTATATATTAGTTATTCGTGGTTCTCAACATTTACTGCAGGATTTGTGAATTTTGTCATGTTGTGTATTATCTAGCAATTTATATATATTTATGCATATCTCTATTAGACAATAATGTATATATATTTATAATATATACTCATTGGCCATTTCCTACGCTGGTTTCCATTTTATACTTAGTTATGTTCGTGTAAGTGTTTCGATATATTCGTGTATATTTATTATACGTTTTGTATATCGATTTGTGTATTTGTATCTGTGTGTCGTGTTGTGTTTCATGTTTGTGTATGTCGTGTATTTGTATCTGTGTGTCGTGTTGTATTTCGTGTTTGTGTATGTTGTGTTTGTGTTTCTGTGTGTTTTCGTCAGTGTATGTACGTGTTGTGTTTTGTCCTGCATGCGTTTTAGGCATATGCCGTGTTCGCTCTAGCCAAGTAGTCCCATTTAGTTCTTGTTGGGCATTCCGCACTAAAGGCGCTGTGGCCAGTTTTCCGCAACCCAGAGTGCGAACAGTTGCAGCACCGCGGTTCTTCGCCCGCGACAAAGTCTGCGCATTTTTCGCGCAGGTGCGGTCCCCCGCAGTGGCTGCACCTGTCCACACTCTCGGTGCAAAATTTTCGTCCGTGGCCAAACGCCAAACACCTCGTACATTGTATCAACGGAGACTGGTCCTCCACCCTGACCCTTTGGAGGTCCAGGTACAGGGCTCCAGCCTCCGTCATTCTCTGCCAGATGTTAGGCCCAACCTGCAAGATGATGTGCATAGTCTTCGGGTTTCTAGTGCGTTTGCGGTACTTGACTACCATTCTCTTTTCTTCTTCAGTAAGGTCCTTAAATATCTCCTTGTTCTGAGCGTAAATAGCATTTATTAGGTCCTCTTCTTCGCCCTCTACGTACACCTCCTTCAAGACCACGAGAGGGTCTTTATTACGCATGGGAGCCGCTTTCAATCCGCCCCCACGACTCTCAATGGTCTCGCGGACCTTCTCCATCTCCTCTTTACTGTCACAGCCCAGTATCACAGTTTGGTTCCTTGCTTTACGAACCTTACTTACTTTTAGGCCTGTTGTTCTGGCGTCAACCACCCTCTTCACCCTGGTGAGGACCTCG